ACCCTTCATCAGAAAAAGCTTTTTCTGATGAAGGGTCTAGGCCCGAAACGTCAGCCTTTCTGCTCCTATGATGCTGCTTGGCCTGCTGTGTTCATCCAGCCCTGCACCTTGAATCTTATCTGCCCTCTGTGCAATTAGGGATGCCTAAAAAACCTTGTATCCTTCACTCATACCCATTTATATCCCACCTCATCAAATACCACTCTCTTCTCACTACTCATACATTTAAAGACTCCATTTTCAAGTCTGTTTCAGCTGTGTTTTGTAGCTGAGATTTCTGTGTGCCTGTCATGACCCCGTATAAAAAGCAAATTGGATGGCATGGTGGCACAGTGTTTGGCACCACTGCCTCACAGCACTGGGGTCCCAGGTTCGATTCCAGCCTTGGGTGGCTGGATGTGTGGAGTTTGCATGTTCTGTCCATTTCTGCTGGGTGTTGCAGTTTCATCTCACAGTCCAAACATGTACAGGTTAGGGTGGATTGGCCAATACTAAATGGCACTGTCGTATCCGGGGATGTGTAGGCTAGTGGATTAGCCATGGTAAATGCATGATTGTAGGTTGGGCTGCTTTTTGGACAGTTGGTGCAGACTCGATGGGCTGTCTGGCCTCTATCTGCACTGTAGGGATTCAATGAAAAGATCCTCTCCATTATCAGCATGATTATGGTCAATATGAGCCTTCTTGTATCATCTGTGGAAATGGTTATAATTTGTCTATCAGAACTCTTCATAGTCAGCAAACCTTCTATTAGGCCAGTCCATAACTTCCATTAGTGAAAAAGTGAGCCATATTTCTCCACTGCTTAGTAGCTGCTGTATGTATCAGTCTGATTTGCTTGCAGCTGTCTCAACAAAGGTGTAACCAAAACAACTAAACATACAGCTAAATAACGTATCTAAGTGGCTAGCCACTATGATCAAACACCTGATAGATGCATTGCGCTGAATCTCCCTCAATTGTTTGCCTCAGATCTACAGCGATGTAACTGGAAGTAAATGTAATAATTATTATTTGTTCAAAATATAAGTCTTCACAATATAGTCATGCAATAATGAACAAGGATTTAACTTGGGAGCACTCTGATCTGCATTCTGGTTTAGAATAACATTCTTTTGCAGTCTCCTAAATCTGTAATATTCTCACATTGACTTGTTCCTTATTTTATTTTGGAAACACAATACTTTGTTCTATGTAATGCGTGATGCAAATCAATACCGACGTTGGGTTTGTTGTGAATTTTCAATAAGCTATTGAAATAGTCCAAGGGATTCTTACAACAGTTCAAAAACTTGCAGGTAGTTGATGGAGGACACTGACAGGAAGAATTGTTTAGCTGGACTGCTGAAAAGGTGGTTGGAATATGTTGGTTGGGAAATCAACCTCAAAGTCAAAGATACATCTGCTGTTAGAACTCCAGCAGAAATTCTGAGAATTGGTAGGAAGATAAGTGTTAAAATCATGATGGGTCTGGAAAATCCTGGGAACTGTGGGGCTCAGAAGAAGCTGTTTGCCACTCATAGTGAGTACAGCAGAGAGGGCATTTGAAAGCCCACCAGCAGTAACTGTGTGATTCAACTGAACCAGGTTAGGGATCACTGCAACCAATTAAAAAGTTTAAGATCAGTTTTGGGTTTGTGTAGCTCTCTGTTTGTGTAAAGTTGTACCTGTGAGTAAGTGCTAAAATGTGATTTCCAATAATCCAAGTGAATTTAGTTCCAGGAAAGGCAAGGGTTAATCAGAACATGAATTGTCATTGAGGCAGTTCATGATACAGTGACTTTTATGGGAACACTGCAGCGAGGGCCTTGAAAGAGAAGAATATTGAATCTCTTGTAAAGTATAATGAGAATTGATGAGCCACTAACATCTGAGGAATTGCTGAGAAATCTGTGGGTTATGGCTTGTCCACATTTGCAATTTAACAGTCTCTATACTGTGTTTGACCACAGTGTGTCTGTTGTGCATATTTACCTCAGGTTAATTCTGGATGTTAGAGTACAACTTGTATATATTGTAGGTTGTGTGACAGGTCTAACTTTGTGTAGTGAAGTTTATTGTTGTTTGTTCAAAACTGTGGAACCTTGTGACTCCATTCTCTTTGTGAGTATTTGGGATCTCAGACTGTTTTTACTTTTGCTAAAACATTTGCTGGCTTGTAATGTAAATTTGGATGATTTGGTCTAGGTTCTAACAATTCCATCAGATGGGAACTCCACACACTGAGAAATAAATGATGCATGGATAGCTAGTTCTTCCTCAAATGTAAGAGTCACTTATGATCAAATTTAATAAGATCAAAACAAATTTAAAACTGTTTAAACGAGAAGAACCAATTTTTAAACTGGTTGATTCCTTTACTTTTCTTTTACATGGAATTTGAAACTACAAGTTCAGACTGACAATTCAATTCCCGTCCTTCCTAATCTGAGACTAGCAGCATGGCCCTCCATCTCCATGTCTCTCATGTATTTATACAGCCCCCCTCAAATAAATCCATGCTGTTCACTTCAATCACTTCCATAGGAGTTCCACACTCTTATTGCTCTTCAGGATAAAAAAGAACTCCTCAATTGGCTGGCACAATAGTTTGCACTGCTGTCTCACAGCACCAGGGAGTTGGGTTCAATTCCAGCCTTGGGTGACCAGCTTTGTGGGGTTTGGACATTCTCGCCATTCTAGGTTTGGACATTCTAGGTTTCCTCTTGGTGCTCCGGTTTCCTACCACAGTCCAAAGATATGCAGGTTAGGCAGATTGGCCATGCTAAATTGCCCACTGTGTCCAGGGATGTGCTGGTCAGCCATGGGTAAAAGCCCCATGTGGCGTTACAGGGAGCTGGGATGCTCTTCAGAAGGTCAGTACAGACTTGATGGGCCAAATGGCCTCTTTCTACACTGTAGGGATTCCATGATTCTAGTTTTCTTTTTGGATTTTTAAATTGACTACTTTATTTTGACTGCTGCTTAGCTTTGATCTCACCCACAAGTGGAAGCGTCTCTAGATTGGCCATTTTGAAACCTTCCGTAACCTTAAAGTCCTCAAGCAGTCCAGCACCTCCTGTCTTTTAATGAGAACACTCTACCCCCAACCCCAACACCCCAACCCCCCACCCTGCCACTGAGCCTGTTCAATCTTTCCTGGAAGAGCACCACTCCTCAGAGGGCTGTGGTGCCTCCAGAGATTAGAGCAATTAGGGAGGGGGGGAAGCCTTACAGGAATCTGAGGGCTGAGAATTTGAACATCAAGGTGCTGCTAGGTGAGGAGCCAGTCAGTGAGCACAGGGGATGCTAGTTGAATGGGATTGGCTGCAAGGACACAAGCAACAAAGTCTTCGATGAGCTGAAGTATTTGGAAGTTGGAGGGAGGGCCAAGGGAGGAAGGGCTGGTGTTGGAGGCAAACAAGACAACATTATAACAGTTTACCCTGGTTGTGTTAAGAGATTTTGATGTGTATTTCATCTGCAGATGACTGCAGTTGGGGCTGAGATCTTAAGGCAGGAAATTGTATCTAGACATCTTTACGAGCAAAAGCCAATTTGTCACAATCAGCTGCAGTCAAAATTCTGCCCTTGCAATTTCACTCAGACTTTTAAAAGATTAATTCCAAACATTTATAACTCACAGTTTAGGCATCAGCTGGTTAAGATTGGGCAGAAGCTAGAAGCCACAATTGGAGGAACACAGAGATTTCTGAGGGTTTGGGGATGTGAGGAAACAGCAGGAGAGTGGAAGTAAGTGCATAGCTCTTTTAAATGAGAGCAAGCCCACTTTGGTTTTCAGCTCTAAATTTATCTCCCTGAAGTAACTGAAATAATGAAAAAAAATCCAGACTTACATTACATTCATTTCTTTCACACTTGTCAGTGGGTTCTTTTGTCTCTTGAGATTCTAGAAAAATGATGGAAGACCAATTATGCATTAATGCCAGGGGAAGCATGCTTGAAAATGAAATTGATATTGAATGGAAATGGCAGTGATATTGACTGCACTCGTATTCTCACCAGTAAAGTTTCTGATACAGAAATATGTGATCAGAACAACAAAGAGGACTGTGCCCAAAATTCCCATGACAATAATAGTGTAAAAGATCCAAAGTGGGGTACCGAGAGGATTTTGTTTCATCATTGTAGAGTTTGTGGCAGTCACTGTAAACACAAAACGTAGACAATTTATAACTTGCAGACCACGTGTGAGCTGAGCAGAGATATTTTGCAAGCCCCACTCCCAGTCATATTTTAAAACGTGATCACCAAGAAAGAATGTCTTGCATTTATATAGCACCGTTAATGGCCTCAGATCCCAACGAGCTTTGCAGCCAGTTGACTGCTTTTGAAGTGCCATTGTAAGGTAGGAACTGTGGCAGCGGAAGATCCCACAAACAGCAATGTGTTAACGACCAGATTTTCGGTGTTTAGATATGGTTGAGGGATAAATGTTCATCCAGGATATCAAGCAGAACCTCTTCTTTGTAATGACAGCTGTGAATGTTTTACGCCTAGCTGAGATTGGCCACTGGGATATGGGCAATGGGTGTGGGTGTGGACTTGTTGGGCCGAAGAGCCTGTTTCCACACTGTATGCATTCCATGATTCTGTATGATTCTATGATATTGCTGATGCTATTGAAAAAGAGAGGAATTGAGCAACTGTAGAATAGAAACTGCAGAATTGAGACGAGGTGCAATGTGTGAATAGGTAGTGGATCTGGTGCCACTGTATAACTTGTCAGTCTTGATGTGGTTCTTAGTGCATCAGAAGCTGGAATTAGTAATTAGAGGTTTGTTTGCCCAATTAGTGATCAATTAGCAACCTATTGACTATAATGGCAAGGAATCAGGAGAATTGTGAAGTGAGCTGTTCACTTGATTCTCTCTGATCAATGCTTCCATAAAGTGTGACTCCATGCCATAAGCAGAGTCCACACAAATTCACTGCTTAAACTTAATCATAGGATGGTAGGTAGGACAGTGGTGAATGTTTCTCAGAGCTTTCCTGTTTTAGTTATAACACAGTGCGGAGCTGGAGGAACACAGCAGGCCAGGGAACATCAGAAGAGCAGGAATGCTGACATTTCGGGTCGGGACCCTTCTTCAGAAAAAGATGCTGAAGAAGGGTCCCGACCCAAAACGTCAGCTTTCCTGCATTTTTTCTGAAGAAGGGTCCTGACCCGAAACGTCAGTTTTCCTGCTCCTCTGATGCTGCCTGGCCTGCTGTGTTCCTCCGGTTCCACACTGTGTTATCTCTGACTCCAGCATTGGCAGTTCTTGCTATCTCTTTCCTGTTTTAGTGTTATTATACAAACTAATCAGCAATGGTTGGAGAGGAGAGGATCTGGTCTGAGGTTCGCTCACAGCAGGATGTCAGGGTGTGGAATGATGACAATGTTTACTTGCAAAGGGGCAACAAATCTGCTTCTGCTAAAGCTAGGATCAACGCCTTCTAAAGCTGCTTAGATCCATCATCCTTAAAACATGAATAAGGTCCTCCACACCAGCCTTGGATAAATTCTAAAGGAGTTCAGGAATGGGAACTGGAGAAAGCCATTTGGCTCTTTCAACACATTCCACCATTCAATTGGATCATGTCAGATCTAACTCTAACTCCCTTGTTACTGTAACCCTTAATGCCCCATCCCAATAAACTCTCAGCCTCAGGCTTGAAAATTCCAAATTGATGGACACAGCAGCTTTTGATTCGGGGGTGTATGAGGGATGGAGCTCCCAAATTGTTCTGAAATGCTTGAATGACCTGGTTCTAATTTTAAGGTTCTCCCCCCTGCTCTGGAGACCCCCCCATGTGGGGAAATAATTCCCCTGTCACTACACATTGAATCATTTAATCATCCCAAACTACTCAGATTGATGACCCTGAAGCTTCTATATTCAAGGGAATACAATCCTAGTCAATGAAATCTTTTAGCCTGAATATCATTCTGGTCAATCTATGTTGAACCCTTCTGGTGCTCTTTCCCAGATGTCAATTTCAGAACAATGCATATTTACACCAGATTGGGATCCAATCAAAGCTTTGTATAAACCGTAGCGCAACTTTCATCCCTTTGTGTAACAGCTCCCTTTATAGTAAAGAGGATTTCTGCTGTTTCTGGTACTGTGTCCTCAGGTTGCTAAGCAACAGAACAACGAGCCAATAACAATGGAGACTGTGTCTAATGTGGATGACAATGTTGATTGAAATGAGTATCAATGGCTGAAATTGTTACGTCTTTAGGCTAGTGGAGACTCGATGTACGACCAGAGATGTATGTCAGGACAACCCAGGAGCTCTGACACAGCACCTTCTTGGGAATTGCCAAGGAAGCCCTGAGAGTCTCCAAGAAAAGGACAGCTCAGAGTTATTAACCTTAGTAATTAACAGGAAATATTAGATTAGGACCATGTCTAACTCTGGGTAACTATTCAACTGATGCCCTGCATCCATCCAGACTTCATCCACTGACCATCCAATGCCAACCCCCTGCCTGATCCAACCTGACCATACCCAAATTTGACAATCCCTTCTCAATCTCAACCATCCTGCCAACTTGCTCAGCTAACAATCTCCATCAATCTACTTGCCACCCTCTTCGACTTGCCATCCTAACACCTTTCTTTTCTACCTGCCTGCCTCCCTACTCTACCCTGGTTATCTCACATCCCTATCCCTCTCTTGCTTAGCCCAGCCATATTCATTCACTGACACAATGAAAAGCTGTTCAAGTATTTCAGTGTCGAGCGAATGAAGACTGAGCAGAAAATGAGAGTGAGTGCTGTGAGCAGGGAGCATGGCTTGTCCTCCAGCAATGATCCTACACCAAAAAGAAGGACTTTGATCTAACGTGTGCTCAGCATTTCTGAAGAGGTCAGAATCAGAAGCCAAGCCAGAAATGTGGAGCTCCACTTTTGTGGAAAGAAGCAGGAGCTAATGCAATCTGACAGTGTTCGCCACTTAGAGGCAGAGAGTCATACAGCAGGGAAGAGGCCTTTCGACCCATTGAGTCTGTGCTGCCCTATCTACACTGGTTTCACTTCCCCACACTAGACTCATAGACTTGAATGCTATGACATTTCAAGTGCTCATCGAAGTACTTTACAAAAGTTCTGAGGTTCCCCACCTTGACTATGCTCCTAGGCAGTCCATGCCAGATTCTCACCATCCTTGGGGTGAAAACATTTCCCCTCAAATCCCCTCCAAACCTCTTGATTTTCACTTTAAAATTATGCCCCTTCCCTGTAGACCCTTCAACTAAGGGGAGCAGCTGCTTTCTATTCTCCCCGTCCATACCCCTCATAATCTTATACACATCTATTAGGTCTACCCCACCTTGACCTCCTACGCTCTAAAGAAAATAACCTGAGTTTATCCAGTCTCTCTTTGTCACTGAAATGCTCCATCCCAGAAAACATCCTAGTGAATCTCATTTGCACCGCTCCAGTACAATCACATCCTTCCCATAAGTGCGGTGACGAGACCTATACACAGTACTCTGGATGTGGCCTAATCCAAGCTCCAACATGACCTCCTTACTCTTATAATCAATGCCACAATTGATAAAGGCAAGTGTCCTATATACCTAACCACCCCATTAACCTGTCCTGTTACATTCAGGGATTTGTGTACAAACATCCCAGGATCCCCCCGTTCCCTTGAGTTTCCTTGCGTTCTGCCATTCATTGAGCCCTCCTTTGTCAGAAGATTCAAGCCATTGTGCCTGATTCATTTCATGACAATTTCATGAGGAACCATATTGTTCAGAGTAAATACTGAATAGCCAAAAGATGCTGCTAATAAGTAAACAATTCATTTGCTTTCACTACAAATGCACTGAGGTTTTGTCAGCTTAACACAGAAGAGAAAGCAAAAGCATAAAACTCATCTTCCAATGTTGCCACTAAAACATTTAGCTTAGGACTCACCATTGACATTGTTCCTGTCATTCTGCTTTTTTGGTTCTGGAGAGAGACAAGGAAATGTAGTTTTAAAACAAAAATCTTAAAATGTGAGATATAACACCCATTGCATTTATCATTTATAACTCTACGCAGGCCTGTGTCAGTCTTATCATAGCCCCTGAGCATAAAACCTGCCAAGCAAGTTGCCAAAAGTTACATTTATCCAGCCCAGCAATATCTGGATTTAATCAGGAGCTAAGCAGGAATTAAGAAAGATGGCAGTAAATTATAAGTTGATCCTGAATTTACTTTAAAATACCATTAGTATCCATCCAGCACTTTGAAACTTTCTGTGTCTCAGCCACTCATGCTCAGTAGTTGCAATGTGCACTACCTACAAGATACATTACAGGAACTAATCAAGGCTCCTTAGACTGTGCCTTCAAAACCTGCAATCTCTATCACCAAAAAGGACAAGGACAGCAGACACATGGGAATGTCACCACATCTGAGTTCCTCTCCAAACAACACACCATCCTGGCTTGGAAGGACATATCTATTCCTTCACAGTCACTGGGCAAAAGTCTAGAAATTGCTCCCTAACAGCAATGCGGAAACCCTTAGACCTTGAGGTCTGCACACTAACTTCTCTAGGTGTTATTTGCTTGGAAACAAATGCCAACTTGCCGATGATACCCACATCCTGAATGAAAGTAAACAACTCACCTTTGCAACAGGAAGGTGGCTCAAACTAAAGAACATGAATATTGACAGAACGTATTGACTTTGGCAGATGATTAAAACTTCAGATCTATTGCACATCAATTACTGAATTAATCTAAACCTTCACCCATGGTTGCTTTAATATTATGTCGATGTGGTCGGTTATCGTGCTTTATTGTGATATCACCTATCTCAGCATCATGTAGAGAATCCATTCTGATGTAACAATAAAGGGGTGGTGGAAACTCAGTACTGAGGAAGCATTGCACTGTCAGAGGGTCAGTACTGAGGGAGCGCTGCACTGCCAGAGGGTCGGTACTGAGGGAGCGCTGCACTGTCAGTGGGTCTGTACTGAGGGAGTGCTGCACTGTCAGAGGATCAGTACTGAGGGAGCGCTGCACTGTCAGAGGGTCAGTACTGAGGGAGTGCTGCGCTGTCAGAGGGTCAGTACTAAAGATTTGGTGCAATTTTGGAGACCCAGTATTGAGGGAGCGCAGCAGTGTTTGAGGATCGGTACTTGAAGGACTGCTGCACTGCAATGAGGTCAGTACCTGAAGCAGTGGTTTACTGTCAGAGTTAGTGCTGCACTATGTCTTGACCACGGATCACAACCCTTGATCACCAACGTATGTGTCAAGTGTTTAATTCCAACATGTGTTATTTCTTTAAAAAAGGACTCGCAGCCAAAACAATGACTGTGGATGTAAATTCAGTGGGGATTTCTGGAGAGAGACACATTGGATTATCAGACCTGACATATTCCCTCATTATATTCTATTTATCAGGTTTTAGCCTACTTCCTTAACCTGTGTATGTCCCTCTGCAGACTGTGTCACCACTTGCTTTCCCACCTGTTTTTGTGTCATCTACAAACTTGGCTGCATCACATTTACCTTTCTCATCCAATTCATTCATTGGGTGGTCATTGGCTGTATTGCACTTTGTGAGATCTTTTTGTACACAATTAAAAAGAGGGGTTGAAGGAAAATGACAGTCAGTGTAAAAGCCAGGGGAGAAACAAATAAACTTAAAGAAGCTTCAGAGAGACAGGATGCAACTGAATATCAACCAAACCTTTTCAATTGATGAATTCTATAACAGTTAGGTTGAACAGTGACATCAAATCAAAAGAAAAGATTGTCAGATAATTGTTATATCAAAGCATGGCTCAATTAAAAGTGCATGATGTTGTATGAATTTTTTTCATTTGTTTGTGGGAGGTGGTTGTCACTGGCTATACAAGCATTTCTTGCACATTTCTAATTGCCCTGAATGTGTGACAAGTTGCCTTCTTGAACCATTGCAGTCCTTGGGGTGTGACAGTAAAGTTAGAAAGAGAGTCCCAGGATTTTGACTCAGTGATAGTTGAAGGGACATCAAAATAGTTTCAAATCAGGATGGTGTGTGGCTTGGTCTGGAACTGGCAAATGGTGATGTTTTCATGCATCTGTTCCTTTGACCTTCCAGATGGTAGAGGTTGAGGGTTTGGAAGGTCTGAGGAGCTGTGGTGAGTTACTGCAATGTACCTTGTTGATGATGCACACTGTTGTCATTGTGCATCGACAATGAAGGGAGCAAACGTTGAAGTTCATGGGTGTGATGTCAATCAAATAGGCTGCTCTGTCCTGGATAGTGTGAAGCTTCTTGAATGTTGGAGCTGTGATCATCCAGGTTAACCGTGAGTATTCCATCAAACTCCTGATGTGTGCATTGCAGATGGTGGGCAAGTATTAGGAAGTCAGACGGTGAGTTACTCACTGCAGGATTACTATGCTCTGGCCTACTCTTGCTACCAATAGATTTATATGGATGTTCCAGCTCATGTACTGGCCAATGGTAATCTAAGGTAGTGGAGAATATAATGATGGAAATTCAATGTAATCAGATGTCAAGGGATGATGGTTAGATTCTCTCGTCTTCCAGTCGTCCTTGCCTAACACTGCGTGAATGTCAACTGCCCTGTATCAGTCCATTTGAACATGGACTACTTCAGTATTGGAAGAGTTGTGACTAGTGCTGAACATCGTACGATCATCAGCAACCATCCGTACTTGTGACCTTACAGTGGAGGCAAGGCCTTTGATGAAGCAACTGAAGATGATTGGGCCTGGAACATTTCCCTGAGGAACTCCTGCAAGAGTCTTTTGGTTGTGATGATGGACCTTCAACAACTGCAACCATCTCTCTTTGTGTCAGATATGACTCCAACCAGTAGAAATTCTTTCCCCAGATTCCCATTGACTCTAGTTTTGTTAGGGATCCTTGATGCCACACTCAGTCAAACATGACCTTGCTGTCAAGGGCTGTCACTCCCACGTCTCCTCTGGAATTCAGCTCTTTTGTCCATGTTTAGACCAAGGCAATAATGCGGTACAGAAATATAGTAGTTACATTGAGCACCTTTAACTTAGTGAAGCATACATGGGTGCTGTAGAGGTATGAAAATTAGAAAAAAAGATACTACACTTTGGAGATATCAGGACAAGTAAGTGAAAGCTTGGTCAGAGAAGCATCTTTCTAAAGAATGCCTTAAAGGAGTAGAGAGGACACTGAGGGGCAGAGATGTTTGGGGAGGGATCACACACTTATCAATAATACAGCAGTGAAACTTCGAGGGTGCACAAAGGGCCAGATATGGAGAAATACAGGGAAGTTGGAGGGTTGTAGGACTGGAGGAAATGCCAGTGAGACCACGGGGAGATTTGAAAAGAACAATGAGAAATTTAAAAGCAAGGATTAGGAGCCAACATCGCTCAGCAAGCACAAAGGTTGATGGGTGAACAAGATGAGTGTGAATGAAGACACACAGGGGCAGAGCTTTGGATTGGCTCAAGTTTACAGAGAGTGGAAGAACCCCCATATCCCTCCAAACCTTTCCTATTTATGTACTCATCCAAATGTCTTTTAACTGTGCTCACTTCTGCCGCTTCCTCAGGAAATCCATTCTACAAGCGAACAACCCTCTGTGTAAAAAATTTTCCCTTCATGTCTCTTTTAAATTTTTCTCTTCTCATCTTAAAGATATGCCCCCAGTCTTGAAAATCCCCATCCAAGGGAAAAGACAACTATCATTAACCCTATCTGTACCTCTCATTATTTTATAAACTTCTGTAAGATCACCTCTTAATCTCCTACGCTGCAGTGAAAGAAGTCCCAGCATATCCAGGGGGGACTAATTTAGTTTGGGGTGATGTTTAGCATGAACTGGTTGGACTGAAGGGTCTATTACTGTGCTGTTTGACTCTATACTCTATGAGACGCAGGTCAAGAGTGTTTGGAGAAATCAAATTCAGGTAACAAAGACAAGGATGAGGGTTTGAATGAGCTGAGGCCAGGGCAGAGATAGACAATGTAATGCAGGTGAAATTAACTGGTCTTAGTGCTGCAAAGTTTATGGGCTCAGAGACACAGCTCAACTGCCTGGCAAGATTTCAATTAATCTGGATCAGCATTGGTAAGTTTCCAGATAACAGGCAGTGAAATTATTTTTCTTAAGTACAAAGGAAAAGCGTTTCACTTGAAAAGCACAGTCACAGAAATATCGATACTTACCAAACACATTCACAGTGATGGAGTTTCCCTGTACCGTTACATCCCCGTATTTGGCGTAACATCGGTAGGTGCCGCTGTCAGTCAGGTTCATGGAGGAGATTGTGTAAAGTACAAACACTTTTCCTTCTGTATTATTGGCAAGATGTGATGGCTGTATTTTTTGTCCGATGACTGGGTGACAACTATTTGATTGAACTTTACACCAGTTTGTTTCAGGTACTTGATTACAGTACATTACAGTACAGTTCAACGTCAGACTGTCTCCAATTGAATGATTGAGCTTCGCCCTCGGATATCCCACATTCATCATACACAAATCACTTTCTGTAAAAGAGAAATTAAGATGTTTTTCAATTGACATGTAAGCATCTGCAAACAATCACCTTGAATTATTTAGCTGCAGTTTTCCAGTTATCAAACACCTAATTTAAAATGTGAAAAGCATGCTTATTACAAATCGGGTGCACCTCTGTCAACACAACTTCCCTTTGATTTTGCGCTGCCATATGTAACCAGAAATGGATCTCCATCCTTTCTCTGTCTATTGCCCCAGTTCTGCACTTCACATTGGGGAAATGGCCCAGATAAAAGAGAGAGAGAGTGTAAAGAGAATGAGAAAGCGAGAGGGAGAGACAAAGAGAAAGAGAAAGAAAGAAAGAAAGACAAAGGGGAAATGGAGAAAAAGAATGCTGAACAGAGGGGCCAGAGATAGAGTGAGACAAAACAGGGGGAAAGTTGAGGGGAGAGAAAAATTGAAAGGGAGACACAGGCAATGAAAGGGACAAAAGAAAAAAAACAGTGAGAAAGAGATAGACAGAAGCAGAAGAGATGGAGAGAGATGACAACATGTAAGGAAGCGGGTGTTGTCTGGTCAGTTTCAGCCTGAGTTTAGGTTTGATGCAGTAGTCCCAAGGTGATCTAGCAACATCTTATACCAACTGTTCTATTTTTACATCTGATCGCGTGGCTGGTGGGGGTCACATCACAAGTTGAGGGCGAGCAATGGAAGGAAGATGACCTGGGTTTGGATTGTGAACAATATCTTGGCACTGGGATTTTATACTGGCCATCTCTCTGGCATTGGGATTGGACAACCAACAGTATCCTGCTATGTGGCGTTGAGAAGTGCCCTCATTCTGGGATTGGATATTGGGCAGTATCTTGGCACTGGGAGGTGGCACAGTAGTGGTAATGTCACTGAATTAGCAATCTAGAGCTCTAGGCTAATGCTTTACATAGGATCAAATCCCATACAAGAATTTGAATTCAGTTAATAACTTGTGGAATTGAAAACAATCCCAGAAATAGTGATCATGCATCTATCATCGACTGTTGTAAGAGCCCATTAGTTCATCAATGCTGTTAGGAAAGGAAATCTGCCACCCTCACCTGGTCTGTCCTTAATTGCCGACAGAAATTGCCCAAAATGCAACTCAATTCAAGGGCAATTAGGGGTGGGCTACCAATGCTGGTCTTGTCAGTAGTACCTGCATCTCGCCAAAGAATGACAAAAGAACTGTGCTCTAAAGAGATCAATCCCAGCATCCCTTGTCTCTCCTCCTAATCAACATGCTTCATCCTTTAAGTAAATCTCCTTCACGCCCTATCCAATGCCTTGCAGGCATAAACACACCACTCTGCATTGTTTTGTGGTTAGTAGTATCTGAACTGAAATGCACCACTAGCAAACCTTTTTACCTGAACACAATGAACAACTTCATTTCTTTCAAACATTTTCACAATTTGAGGACTCCTGCTTTCCTCGAAACACAAGTCTTGTACATTTTTCACGCAAAATAATACATATATTTTATTTTTCTTGCTGATAATATTCAGTAATATATTTTACTCAATGTCAGAAGCTAAGGTGCAATGAGACATGATCTAATTGAATGATAGAACAGGCTTGAGGGGGTTAAAGGTCTCCTTCTGTTCCAATTGTCTTCAGACAGTTAGTTTTTTACATTATGGTGAACACTCTCGTCATCAAGCAGATAAGCTAATGTATCAGCGGTGAAGGCTATTATGGAAAGAGATTGGCCAATAATAGATGGAAAATACTTCAAAAGTTGCGACCAAGATGTGCAGTCTCCTGTGTGAATCACTCAAGAAAACTTCTGGTTACCAGTGGTGATAAGACGTTTGGGGGTGGAGGGCGGGGGTGTGCATTGGTCTGGGTGTGGCTGTCAATGAAGTGGTCTGGGGTCAGCGGCAGAAACAAATAAAAGAAGACAGAGTGACATGTCACGTGCTTGGAATGAAAATGCACAAAAAAGCTTTGTTGTCAAACTGCATCTGCCAAAATAAATTTAAGCTTTATTTTAATACTCTCAGCCTTCATTTCAAATCCTTGTTCTTCTCCCTCTCTGTAATCTCATCCACCTCCACAACTCTCCAAGATCTATGCGCTTCTTCAAATCCAACTTCTTTTGCATCCTCAATATCTATCACTCCATCACTGGTCATTGGGCCCTTCAGCAACATTGACATTCTCTCCCACTCTCCACTTCTCTGTTCTCCTTTAAGACACACTTTTAGAACTAGCTCTGACTGAATTTTTGTTCAACTGTCCTAGTATGTGGCTCAATGTCAATTTTTTGATAATTCTTCCTGTGAAGTTTCCTGGGATGTTTTACAGCATTAAGGGTGCTATGTAAGTGCAAGCTGTTGTTATAAATCAACCATTTGCATATCAATAAAATTGAGTCCTAAATATCTATTTATTTTGTGCTATTTAGTTGGCTTGTTGGCCATTACATCAGAGTTCTGATTTGGTGCGAAAAGTGTGTTAAACATTATTATATAGTCAACCCTTAACTTCTGCATCATAATTTTCAAAAGGAATTGAATAATTACTTGAAGAGGGAAATCTTTGCAAGGCTAAGAAGAAAAAGCAAGTCAGTCAGACTACTAGGACTGCTTTTTGAAAGATCTGTCATGGGAATGATAGCCTGAATGTTGTCTTTGTTATATGATACTGTGCCTAATACACTAAGTAAACTCTGGTGTTTAGTTATATAAGTTCCTGTGAGTGAGCAAACAGTAAATGCAGTTATAAAATTGCTATTGAGCACCACACAAAGCCATAAATTGAGGATTTGTGTCTTTGAAATATGTGTTGTTAATTTATTTTACAGAAACAGATCCATAACAGGAGGAAGCATTTGCCTCAGAAATCATTTTTCTTCTTAATTTGACTCCCAAGCCTAAACCTGAAGTGTGCAATCTGTGAGATGTATTTTCCAAGTGTGCAGTTTGAAAGTTGTGCCCTTTACCTTGTCTTCTGTACTGAATTTGAACAGGATGTGGGAGGATGATACTCATAGGTTGCTCTGAAACCACCCCACAACAATATCCCACCAGCAAAGGTTTCACCACCTCAGTGCTTTCTCCCATCTATTGTTTCCACTCTGCTATTCACAACCTGTACCCTCGCATGACTGCAGCTTTGTAATTGTTTTGCAAGCATTTCGCATCCTTCGTAACCTTGCTTAGTTTTCATCTTATGTTGCATTCAGGCAAAAGCAGACAGATTGATGAGAGGTAAAAATCATAAAACGAACACAAAATGGACATTGCAGTTGTTTATTGTGTGATTAATAGAAACTCACAAGTGTAGAAGTGCTGAACTGAGCCGGGCCAGAACAGGTATACATGTGAAGGTGTGAAAAAAAGAGTGAGAGAGACTCAAGGAGATAAATAGTAAGTAAAAAGCAAAGGGCATAAGAAATAGGAGAAAGAACAGGCCATTCAACCTTACCCTGCCATTCAATAAGATCACAGCTGATCTATCTCAGACTTCAACTCCCTTTTCATGCCAGCTCCTCATAGATCTCAACTCCTCGATATTTCAAAAATCTGTCTACCTCCCCTTTAAATACTTTCAGCGATCCAGCCTGTGGAGCACTCTGGGGTAAAGAATACCCGGCACTCACGACCCTCTGGGAGAAGAAATTCCTTCACATCTCAGTTTTAAACAAATGTCCCTTTATTCTTTAATTTTGTCTCCTAGCTCAAGACTCTCCACAGGTGGAAACATCTTCTCAATACCTATTCTGTCAAGCTGCCTCAGAATCTGAGAATCTTCTCCCATGTCTTTACCCCAACCCCCACACACCTTGTCATCACAGGGGCTGCTATCAAACACAACACATTGTCAGCCACTAACAGTCCCTAATAGCAGCTATTCATTCTCCAAGGCTGACTCTTATCCACTACTTTACCTATCCAACTGTTTTTCTCTCTCTCTGGGCTCCATTTCCACCTATCATTTACTTCTTCCCCCTCCCCCCACTCCTTCCCTAGCATAATCTTTTCCTAGCTACAGTCAATTCTGAAGAGGGGTTACTGGACCTAAAAATGTTAAGTCTGCTTTCTCTCCACGGATGCTGCCGGACCAGCTGAGTGTTTCCAGCAATATCTGATTTATTTTTCAGAATCTTTTATGTTTCAGTAAGCTCACACTCATTCTTCTAAATTCTAATGAGGAAAGGCATAACCTGTTTAACTGTTCTTGATAAGTCAACCCCTTCATTCCAGGAATTAGCCGAGTGAGTTTCTTTTGAACTGCCTCTGATGCCAGTTCATCCTTTTCTAAATGTGGGGATGAAGATTGTACACAGTGTTCCAGGTGCAACCTCACCAAAAGCTGTACAACTTCATTCCTCTAGCAATAAATCCAAAATTCTCTTTGTCTTCTGAACGACTAGCTGCATTGCATGCGAGCATTTTTTTGTGTTTCATACACAAGAGCACCCAGATCCCTCTGTGCTGCACTCTTTTGGATTCTCTCCCTATTTAAATAATGGCCTGCCTTTCAATTCTTCCTGCAAAAGTGCATGGCCTCACACTTTCCTACATTAAACACCACCTGCCATATTTTTGCCCACTCGCTCAACCTATCCATATCAGTTGCTGATTCCTTATGTCCTCATCACTTTATGCCTTCTCACCTATTTTTGTATCATCAGCAAATGTTGATACATTACTCTCTGCCCCGTCCTCTGAATCATTAATGAAGATAGTAAACAATTGAGGTCACAGGACGGATCCTTGTAGCGGTTCACTAGTTATGTCTTTCCAACCTCATTAGTCCCAACTCTCTGACTTCAGTGTGTTAACCAATCATCAATCCATATTAATTACCCCAAAAGCTTGAGCTCCTAACTTGTAGTACAATAACCTGGCCTACATGTGACTCCAGACCCACAGTCTTTTGGTTGACACTTAACTGCCCTCTGGGCAATTAGTGATGGGCAATAAATGCTGCCTTACGAGTGACACCCTCATCTCATGAATGAATGAATAAATAAAAAAAATCCTTT